GGGGGCAATATGCTGACTCTGTAAACCGCTTAGAGAGGACTGAAAGCCCTATGAAGCGGTACATAAGTCTAACTGCTATTGCTATTGCTATTAATTTATATTAATACCCACAATTATACATTTTTCCAGGGGTGAAATCTACTCCGTGCATGCGCAGAGCGTCAAAAATAGACATGACGATGTCCGGGCAGTTGGGTGGAGCCTGCTACTGGGCGTAACTGAAAGGTAAGTAGAACAGTGGGGGGGGGGGGGGGGGGGGGGAGGGAATCCGCTGTACCATGCAATTTAGATTAGCTAGAAATCCTGCTTCTATCTTATATAAATCGTGTGTCACAGCTGACCACCAGAGGTACTGGTTTGGCCAAACCGCTAGCATTTTTTTTTACTACCAGTTTGGGCGAACCAGTAGTTTTCTTTACTATTGTTTCGGACAAACCGGTCCAAACTGGTAGCATTTCACTCCTGAATTTTTCTCAAAGCTAAGACGTCTCTTAGAATAGTCTTCCCCAATCAGTTGCCCTACCAGTTGTGTTGTCCTACAAATCTCACATCTAGTTCACATACCTGGAGTGCAACTGTTTGAAGAAAGCATGTTTGGAACATAGGCTTATATGAGAATTTTAATTGAGGGGGGGGGGCTTCTTCTAAAGTAATGTTGCCCCTCAAAGTAAATGGAATGTGGATCATATTGCAAGTGATGGGATGTCCAACTCTTGCTTTGGAGCTGCTGGCGCAAAGCAAGTTGCACAGCAAATGCGGAATGCTGTCCTCAAGGAGCTTATCACCCTCCTTAACAAAAGCCAACATCTAAGCTACTTTATCCTGAAGATCAAAGATAGACTTTAGAGTTTTCCTTTCATCTGGCATCTGTCTTTATCTTTCTTCAAACTAGAGGCTTTTCACAGGAAGTTCAAAACATCTGGAAAGCAACCAGTCAGAGAAGGCTGACTTCACTAAACCCAAGAAGCACGTCTTCTCCAGTTTGGCCTGGTTTCTCCTACCTTCATTTCCCACATTTCTATGCTGACCTGCAATTCCGTGAGGCTGAGTCCGGCCACTTCTAAAGGGATGCAGCGGTCCGAGAGAAACCTCTCTTTGTCTTGGGAGCGTTCTTCTTCTTCCTTTTCCATTTCCCTCTTAGCCACTTGGAGCATCATTGACTGGGTGAAAAGACAAAGAGTTTTGGGTCAATAAGCTGGGCTTACATCTTGCTTGTGTTCCTTCAACCTGATGAATATACCATGGCTCAAGCTAGTTTTTCCCTTCCAAGGGACTCACTCTGCAGATGTATGGATGGACCCTGAGAATGGGGGTTATATTAATCCAAGACTTCTGGCAGTTGAATCATACATCCAGAGGGCATTCTGGTTGGTCATGTCCATTTCATCAAGTGTTTCTTCCTAACAGGTATTTGCATCAAGTATGTGTGTGGGGGTGGTTGTGATTGTGTGGATGTTCTCTTCTCTTGGAATCTGATCTACCGTGTGTCTTTTCCACCAGGTTCCAAACACTACATGTAGTCCTCATCTTACAATTGAGTCCCCAAACCTCTGTTGCTAAGCAAGCCAGTTGTTATGTGAGTTTTGGCCCATTTTATGACCTTTCTTGCCATAATTGTTAAGTGAACCACTGGGGTTGTTAAATTAGCAACATGGTTGTTAAGTGAATCTGGCTTCCCCATTGGCTTTGCTTGTCAGAAGGCCGCAACTGTCAAAGATACATGCCAGTTGCCAAGCGTCCAAAGTTTGATCATGTGACCACAGAGATGCTGCAAAAACCGTAAGAGTAAACAAGAGTCATAAAGTCACTTTTTTTCAGTGGCGTTGTAATTTCAAATGATCATTAAATGAATGGCTGTAAATCAAGGTCTACATGTACTATATTTTGCCTTCCAATTTCCTGGAAACTTGCCAAATGTGTCCCCAGAAGTGTTTACCACCTTGTGCTCTTTTCTAACTGTTCCAACACCCAGAGGTTCACTGTTTCCACATTACCTTGAGTTGCAATTTCCGAGAAGCTGATATCTTGCATTTTATCTGTGGTGGAACAAAAGAGAGATTAAGAGGCATATTTCACACTCCGGAAGGTTGGTGCTCAGGGGAACTTCGTAAATTTACAGTTGCTTATCCTGTTCACAACATGGGGAGCAGTTTAATAGATAAGGAGAGAAACGGAATCAACTGATTTGGTTAAGTCTGGTTAGCACAGACGAAGTGACAAATTTCTAAAGGAAGAACCACAGTCACTTAGAGGAAAAAAAGATAGGAAATAAAATATAATCTGCTTGTCCAGTGGGTTTAATTTCTTTCTAAATGAATAATAGATGGGATCAATCTAAATCAAGTGTGTATAAGTATAATCTTTATTGTCATTGTACTTAAATAGAACAAAATTGGTTAATACAACATCCAACCTGGGAAACTTTAAGGCCTGTAGACTTCCACTCCCAGAATTCCCCAGCCTGCATGACTGGGGAATTTTGGGAGTTGAAGTCCACAAACCTTAACGTTTCCAAGGTTGGATACCCCTGGTCTAGATTAACTGACACCTAGAGACTATTGGAATTCATTGTTGGAATGTATTTCTATGCAATAATTACAGTACTATTCAACCAGTAGATTGCATTATTTACAAGTTTGGGTCTATACTCTATGCTCTTTTGTTTTGAGTAGAGTTTCCTGTTTCCTGTTACAGTTATATAGTTGACCAGTAAAGCACATGGTGACTGTATTTTTTTTTGCCCTGTGTGGTGCTTTATATAAACTGAATTTCTAACAGAGACCATTTGGAAAAGATCACATAGCCTCCATGTTTTTGAAAGATCTGAACAGATTTTAAGGAGCAGAAACATCCTGAATTGAGAAGGAAATTTGAGATGGCAAGGATGAAGACTGGACACCCAATTTTGTGCTCCTGTGACAGAAAATGCACAAAGGTGAGTGTCGATCTGAGATAAGAGCAGACCAATGTGTTCAACTTCTAAATTGCACTTTGAGCTTACACTGGGAGAGACATGCAAATTTATCCTGAACTTCATCTTGCTGTATTGTTTTCATGCATGATGATAAATTTACATTGCTCTCTAAAAATAGAGAGACACATATGTACATACACAAACACAAAGGTGCCGCATTGTTGCCATGTCTGCATTTCTTCCCCGTTTAGGTTCTCCTTTGATTTTCTGAACCCCCCTCATTCTTAATCTCGCCTTTCTTCAATGTATTTCTGCATTTCTAGTTTTTGATTCAACTGGAAAGGTGACTGGCACTTACCTTGTCATGTGGCTCAATGGCATAGGCCCGATAATTGGCAGATGATTTTCGGCGTAGGGGAGGCACCGTTGCGGGAGGAGGGGCAGGTTTGGGAGCCACTGGTGCCTTTTTTGTCGTCTCCACAATAGTTTCCTGTGCTTCCTCCTCTATGTATTCCTCCTCTTCCTCTTCTTCATACTACAGATTTAAATACTATATTATTTCCAAAATGCTTCCTGCAGCCGCATTTGGGATATATAAAGGCCAGCTGCACTAGCTGCTCTGACTCTCAAATTCCAGATTTTGAGAGGATATTTAGGTAAGTGGGGGAAATGGTACAAACCCGCTCCTGTTCATTTAAGTACTTTTGTACTTTAATTGATGACTTTCACTGTCCTATAGCTAGTTCTCAACTTATGACCACAATTGGGAACAGATTGCTAAACAAGGGGGTTGTTAAATGAGTCGTGCCTGTTTTTATAACCTTTTTTGGACACAGTTTTTAAGTGAATTACTGCAGTTGTTAAATGAATCATACAGTCATTAAGCAAATCCAGCTTGACTTTGCTTGTTGGACGCCAGCTGGGAAGATTGCAAATGACAATCACATGACCCTGGGACATTGCAACGGTCATAAATAGGTACCAGTTGCCAAGTACTTTAATTTTTTATTACTTGATCGTGGGTAGTTGCAACTGTTGTACGTTTGAAGAGCAATTGTCAATCACTTTTTTTCAGTGCCATTATAAATTTGAATGAACAAATGTTTTGAACTAAACAAATGGTTGCAAGTTGAGGACTACCAATATTTTCCTGACAAATCCTTTTACTTATAAATACCATGTGAAAAAGAATGCAAATTAAAAATGGAAATGTCAGAAATGCTACTAACAATAATGCACAACTTTTTTTTCCTCAACCTCTGCATAGACTGATTTTTGCCACTAGATGGCGCCTGAGTGAGCGGAATTTGAATTTTGGATTCATTCTGGAAGATGATAGTGCAGGTAGTCCTCGACTTACGACCACAATCAAGCCCAAAATTTATGTTGTTCAGGGAGAATTTGTTAAGTGAGTTTTGTCCCGTTTTACAACATTTCTTGCCACAGTTGTTAAGTGAATCACTGCAGTTGATAAGTGATAACCTGGTTGTTAAGTGATTCTGGCTTCCCCCTTGACTTTGCCTGTCAGAAGGTTGCAAAAAGCGACCACATGATTCTGGGACGCTGCCTCCGTCGTAAGTATGAACCAGTGGTTAAGTATCAGGATTTTGATCATACCACCATGGGGATGCTGCAAAGATTGCCATGGTCATAAGTCACTTTTTTCAGTGCTGTTGTAACTTTGAATGGTCACTAAATGAACCGTCGTTAGTCAGTGACTACCCGTACTTCAGTATTTTTCTTGGTTTTCCAGATTCATGATTCCTCAAAGTGGCTTCTACATTTTTTGCTGTGATTTCATCAGGATAGGCGTATTGATGGAGAAAAGGGTCCTTTTGGATACAGTGTGAATTTCTCTTGGTGTCATGTCTCCGTAGGCCTAAAATGAGGCATGCTAGAGCTACCTAACCCCGTTAATGCTTTCTGTATCAGTTGCTCTACTACAGCAATGTGTTTCAACCTTGGCCACTTTAAGCTGCGTGGACTTCTACTCCCTGAATTCCCAGCCAGCATGGTTTACCACTAATAGCGGCCCTGCTAGCTAGGAAGATGGTAATTGCGTGGCACGACAAAACCGCGCTCGACTGAAGCGCGCCCGATTAAACCGCGTCGCTGACGTCATCAACAGGGCGACAACAGCGAGCATGGAGAAAGAAGGGCGCTTTAAATGGCGCTTTGAAAGCAAGCCGATTCAAGTTAAGGTAAGGGTTAGGTTTAGGGTTAGGTTAAGGGTTAGGGTTAGGGTTAGGTTTAGGGTTAGGTTAAGGGTTAGGATTAGGTTTAGGGTTAGGTTAAGGGTTAGGATTAGGTTTAGGGTTAGGATGAGGTTTAGGGGGGTTAGGTTTAGGTTTAGGGGTTAATTTTAGGTTTAGCGTTTACAGCGTGCTTCTGTCTCCACGCTGTTGTCACCCTGTGATGACGTCAGCTACGCGGTTTCGTCGAGCGCGCTTTAGTCGAACGCGGTTTTGTGGTGGAACTGGTAATTGAAGATCAGTCCAATGACAAGCCAGAAATTCAGATTGTGTCCCTTTTTATGTATGTTGTCTGTAACGGGCAGGAACTAAACTGCACAGGCCCAACCACCATTATGATTATTTTGAGGTATCTGTGGACATCCCTGACTAGATATCAAATAGGAAAGGCGGCGGGGGGGGGGGATTTAAGAGTGCTTGAACAGGGATGATTTCTTTTAAGAAATGAAATTTTAAATATGCTAATAGAAAAGTCTGTACAAATTGCCATGTATGAAGATGGTTTATTTATTTTTTTCCCCATGAAGGAACAGGCACTATTTATAGATTTTAATCTGAAGTGATGCTGGTGACATTTTGCAAAGCTTATCTTAAACTATTTTTTAAGGAGCTAATATCTGCCTAGACCCGGCAAAGAAACTTTTGTCAAGTTTACCCTAAGTGTTGAAAGAAAGTGCTTCATGGCAAGATTCAAAAACCTGATGTAGGACACAATTATTTATGTATTTATTTATGTATTTAATTTTTTTTATCTTTTATTACTTTATAGGTAATTCAAAAGAAATAATTCTCCCTTCTCCTTTTTTTTTTCACTACAAGAACAACACAGTGAGTTGGGCTGAGAGACAGTGACTGGCCCAAAGTCACCTTGGGACTAGAACTCACTGTCTCCTGGTGATTGGCCCAAAGTCACCCAGCTGGCTTTCAGGCTTAAGGCGGGACTAGAATTCACAGTCTCCTGGTGATTGGCCCAAAGTCATCCAGCTGGCTTTCAGGCTTAAGGCGGGACTAGAATTCACAGTCTCCTGATGAATGGCCCAAAGTCACCCAGCCAACTTTCACGCTTAAGGTGAGACTAGAATTCAGTCTTCTGGCTCCTAACCTAATGTAAATAACAATAACAGAGTTAGAAGGGATTTTGAAGGTCTTCTGCTTAAGGTGAGACTAGAATTCAGTCTTCTGGCTCCTAACCTAATGTAAATAACAATAACAGAGTTAGAAGGGATTTTGAAGGTCTTCTTGTCCAAATCCCTGCTCAGATAGGAAGCCTACCATTTTAACCATTGGATAAATGGTTGTCCAATATCTTCTTAAAAACCTCCAGTGTTGGAGCACCCACCATTTCTAGAGGCAAGTTGTTCCACTGACTATTTGTTCTAAATGCCAGAAAATTTCTCCTCAGTTCTAGGCTGCTTGTCACCATCCATTGCTTCTTAACCACTAGACCAAACTGGCTTTACACATTACTTTTCAGAAAACATATAAGTGTGAAAGTGTAGGCATTTACTTGCCTGAAATGACCGAACTACTCCAGCACAGTAAAATTTCCCTGGATAATTTACCTTCTACTCAACTCCTTGACAGTTTCCCCCAATTTATTAAAGGCTCTTGAGAGAAGAGAGAAGGATGCCCGTATCAAATAAAGTACACTGTCCTTTATCAGTTTTGCTGAAATTGCTTCATTTGTACTTACAGTGATATCTTCCCTGTGAAAAAATGGAAAGATACAAATCAGACTGAATAATTCTTTGTTTTGCGTGGTTGCTCCCCCACCCCGCCGTGATCCTAAGCTGCTTCCTAAGTTTTTCCCCCTGCTGCCAGCATTTTAGTAGGATTATTTTTAATCTAAGGAGTAAGTTTTGTCTGCCAGCTCAAAGAACAGCACACTCCTTCTGGGGATCTTGAACCCATGTCTTGCTCACTAATCTCCTCCAGGATACATCCTGTACCCCCTTCCCTCTGGTACATATTGTATGATAACTCCCACTAACATGCTTTTTAAAAGACAAAAACTACTCACTCTTCTGCCATCTTGCGAAAGCAACTTTCAGCTACACTGGAATGAGAGAAGGGGAGAGAACAAGAAAATACATTATTCATAACCTTGTTTTCTGTCATCTCCATCATCTTGAATACAGAAGCATATCTGTGCACACTGTGATATATAATAATATGCAAATACAATATCTATCCTATGAGGAACTGTTTTGGTGTAGTGGTTAAAACATCAGGCTAGAAACGGGAAGTCCAGGAATTTTTGCTCTGTCTCAGCTACAGTGCCATTTGGGTGGTTTTGGGCCAGTTACTTTCTCTCAACCCTAAGAAAAAGGCAATGGCAAACTAAAATAGTGGAGAAAATGGCAGAGATTTTTTTCAGGCAGTTTCCAACAGTCAGACATGATTAAAGAAGAAAAAAAAAATCTATCCTGTTTCTAGGTCTCTTATCTTTTATTCTGTTCTTTCTTTCTTTTTCTTTTTTTCTTTTTTTCTTTTTTTCTTTCTTTCTTTCTTTCTTTCTTTCTTTCTTTCTTTCTTTCTTTCTTTCTTTCTTTCTTTCTTTCTTTCTTTCTTTCTTTCTTTCTTTCTTTCTTTCTTTCTTCCCTTCCTTCCTTCTTTCTTTTCCTGCCTCCCTCCCCCTCCCTTCCTTTCCTTTCTTCTCTCTCTCATCTGTCTACAGTTCTCGACTTACAACAGTTCATTTCGTTTGAAGTTACAACCACTGAAAAAAAAAAAGAATGTTTTTCATGTGTATGACCATTGCAGCATCCCAATGGTCATGTGACTTGGTTGCTAGGCAGCTGACTCATCATATTCATGACGGTTCCAATGTCCCAGGGTCATGTGATCCCTTTTTGCAACCTTCTGACAAGCAAAGTCAATGGGGAAGCCAGATTCACTTAACGGCTGTATTATTAACTTAACAATTGCAGTGATTCACTTAACAAGTATGGCAAGAAAGGTCATAAAATGGGTCAAAACTCACTTAACAAATGTCTTACTTAGCAACAGAAATTTTGGGCTGTACTGTGGTTGTAAGTTGAGTTGACTACCTACACTTTTCTGTTAGAGACAAAAAACTTCTTTCTAATAATAGCACTTTGAAAAGCACCAAAGGCACCAGTCATGCTTATCCTTTGTGACTCTCCTTGGATGTCCAGGCAACCTCAGAAATGTTTGCCCTTTGTGGGTGGGTGCACCTGTCAGTGTGTCTGTGTAGCAGAGAAGAAAGCAGCATTTAAAACAAGTTGTGGCAGGTTTTAAGGCCTAAAACCTCTACCCTTTTGATGTCATTTCAGGCCATTGGGATCATAACCCTGAATATCACGCCTGTAACTGCCAATTGGTAGACAGGATTGGGAAGGCAATCCACTTTTCACATGTTGCGTTGCTTCTGCAGGTCTATGGTATGTGAAATACAGATCTATTTGAAGTAATTTATCTTGCTGTTTTACCTCCCCTTCTTCTTTCATCCTCCAAAAGACTAGTAGAGCTGCTGCGGCTTACATAAGAACAGATGGGAACATTATCCTTTAAGTCTTTTGTTATCACTTTCAAAGCAAGCCTCTTCAATGTATTTTGGTATGAGTCTCTGTATATGTGTGCATGCAGACATGGGCACCCTGGTTGCATTGTTATATACCCAGGGTGCATAACACCCAGAAGTAAGCAAACCAAATTTTAGTTTATGGTGATATGTAAATTCAGCCACGAAATAATCTTACATCAGCAGGAATCTCTTCACCTGTCTACCTCAGAGGGTTGTTTTGCATAGGTTGGAGTGATGATTTTATGTGATTATATATGAATAAATAAATGTTTAAATTGAAATGGCCCCTGGACAAATTAAACAATTGTTCATGCCATAAACACACTACAAAAATTAACAAGTTCACCACCCTTGGGCCATATTTCCTGCATGTCTGCTAAAAATGTTTTAAGGCGGGGGTCTCCAAACTTGGCAACTTTAAGACTTGTGGACTTCAACTCCCAGAATCCCCAGACAGCCAGCTAATTTTGTAGCATGTTTATGGTTATGTACAACTTTTAAATACTGAACAGCTCAGACAGTGCCAAATCAAGTAGTAATGTGATGTATGAACCTGTAAGAAGAAACAAATGCATACTAAATAATCAACAGCAATATTTTTGTGAGAGGTTACCAGAGGCCACTTCAATTTAAACATTTATTCATGTATAACCACATAAGATCATCCCTTCAACCTATGTAAAACAACCCTGTGAGGTATGCTGGTGGAGATTCCTGCTGATGTAAGATTATCTTGTGGCTGAATTCACATGTCACTTTAAGCTAAATTTGGTTTTTTACTCCTGGGTGAGCTTGGCTGGCTGGTTGGGGAATTCTGGGCGTTGAAGTCCACAAGTCTTAAAGATGACATGCTTGGAAACCTCTGTTTTAAGGGAACAGTTACTGTGTGGTGAGAATTGATTTATGCTGGCCTATACTTATTATAAAGGAACATGGTGGCCCAGTGGCTAAGACACTGAACTTTTCGATCAGAAGGTTGGCAGTTCATAGGTTCGAATCTCTGGCGCTGTGTAACGTAGTGACTTGTCCCAGCTTCTGTCAACCTAGCAGTTTGAAAGCATGTAAAAATGCAAATAGAAAAATAGGGGCCACCTTTGGTGGGAAGGTAACAGCTTTCCATGCGCCTTTGGAGTTTAGTCATGCCGGCCACATGACCACGGAGACTTCTTCAGACAGCGCTGCCTCTTCGGCTTTGAAACGGAGAAGAGCACCGCCCCCTAGAGTTGGGAACGACTAGCACATACGTGTGAGGGAAACCTTTACTTTTAACTCATTGTGGCCTGGAACTTTAAAAGAATACCGGATCACTGCCTATCACCACACAAAAAGAGCAAGAGCAAAGTCGCTCTGGCTATAATGAAGAGATTACAACTCTCTTGAAAACCTCTTGTTGTTGCTTTCTAGGTTCAGATGTTGCTTCTCACTCGGGCCCACCAGCAGCCAAGCATTGGGTTCTCTGGAAACTCGCATTAGCCCAAACCTTGTATGAGACATCCTGTTATCACTTGAGTAATTTGGGCTGCTAAATTTGTGCCGTCTTATCGCTTCAAAAATGGGGCCAGGGCCGTTCCACAGGGAAGAGGCAGTGAGCTTTGCAGGCAAAGCACGTGCTCCAAAAAAGAAAAAAGAAAAAAAGACAGCAGATGGAAGTCTGCTTGTTCGCTCAACTTGATATGGCATGTGTGCGTGCATGCAGCCGCACAACCATTTTTACAGGAAGCTAGATTGAGGCTAAATTCCCAACTCTGATTATTTTAAAGCAAGGCTTTTAAAATAAGATGGTTTTTTTCTCTCTCTCTCTTTCTCTCTCTAGCTCAAAGATGATAGTTGGAAGCTGGGCAGAGGGAAGAGCTATGGGCAGAAATCCAGTGGAAAACAAAAATACAGCGGCTGCGTGTTCAGCCCTCCCCTTCCTTGGGAGGCCTTTATTCTTAGCATGAGGTGTGAAACGAATCCTTCAGCACTCTTGCGAGAGACATCTGCTGTGAGACTCAGAAATAAAGCTGGAGGGGGCTTGCCCAGCGCGGCTAAGCTCTCTCAAAGCTTTGTTATCTCTCTCTCTCTCTCTCTCTCTCTTATTCTCTGGCTGATGAAAAGAACAGCATTGCCAATGCTCGTTTGGGCTGAGCCAGTTTGATTCAATGGTTTAGAGTGGGGGAACCAGAGTCCTACTCCTTTTTTAGGTATGGAAACCAGCTGCCAGTTACTCTCTCTTTCTCAGCCCTAGAAAGAAGGCAACGGCAAGACACCACTCTTGCCAAGAAAATTCATGGACTTGTCAGTGGGCAGGCAGTCCTCGACTTAGACGAGTTTATTTAGTGACCGTTTGAAGTTACAGCGGTGCTGGGAAAAAAAAGGACATATGACCGTTTCCCACACTTATTGACAGACCACTGCAGCATCTTCACAATCACATGGTCAAACTTTGGATGCTTGGCAACCAAATTTCATATTTATGACGGTTGCAATGTGCCGGGATCACATGATCCCCTTTTCAACCTTCTGTCAAGCTAAAATCAACGGGGGAGCAGATTCATTTAACAGTTGAGTTGCTAACTTAACAGTGGAAATGATTCACTTAACAACTGTGGCCATTTTTTTAAAAAAAATTGCACTCACTTAACAAATGTCTCACTCAGCAACATAAATGTGGGGCTCAATAATGGTTGTAAGCCAAGGACTATCTTTACTTGCCAGGATCAAGGCTTACTCAAAACAAAAACAGGTCCACTTAATTTCAGCCAGTGGGGCCAAGGCTAGATTGGAGATTGCTTGAGACCGAGGTTTGCTAGTCCCCTCTTTCCAAGGGACTGGTTCCCAGTAAGACTTGCCCTGTGACCCCTTGGGCTGGGGTCATGCCAGATTGCTCTGGCCTTGGCGTCTGTCAGAAAATGTCTAATTCCAATCCCCTGGTGATGATGAGGGAACTCTCCTGCTGAATACTCCAAGAGAGCTTTTTTGTGTGTGGACAGACTGACCAAAAATGATGTCCCTTCCCCATAGTAATATTCCTTACTGGCTGGAAGGGATCTCAGTGTGGCTGGTTAATAAGGGAACAAGGTAATATCCATCGATATAGAAGGCAGGAGGAATAAAGAAGCAGCAATTAAAGAAAAGCAGCAACAAAAATGTCCCCACAGCCTTTAAAATCCAGGATTAAGGAAATTAAATTGTCATTCTACTCTAATAGGGTTAACTCTGTTAGAATGGGGGGGGGGGCGGCATTAGGAACCCATGTATTGCATTGATTTTAAATATTCTGTGCAAGGTGGTGGTGGGAGAAGCCCCTCCCCTTGCATGCTTTATGAAGGCTGCTCTGATCTTCCCATAGATCAAGAAAGGGCAAAGCATAAGAATGTAACAAATCACAGTCCTGCTTGTTTGCTCATTATCTATTTTCCAACCAAAGACAGGGATAAATTATGCCACTGAAAAATCCCCCTCCATTTCCCCAAAGTAACAGAATGGTCCCTCTGATTTACCTGGATAACGGGGAAGCCGGCAACGG